AATGTTGGCGGCTCAGAGCCTGATGGTGAAGATGGGTTTGTTTTTTTGTTTTTGTTTGAACTCCAGGGTATGCTGTTGAACTCAGAGCCAGCGCAAGGGTCCACGAGGTCCGGTTCCGATGCTCCGGCGTTTCTTCTTTTTCACGACGGTACGGCGTGGTCGGTGGGACGGCGTGGTCCGGCTCGGTGGTGCAGTTGGTACCGAGAATCGTCGGGCCACGTGCGAAGAACTCTCATGTAACTTCGGGCGGTTCCTCCATGTGAAGAACTTGAAGTGTCCACACTCCACACCCTGCAAATTCTCAAAGATCCCACAAGCTACAAACCCAATGGTGGCGCCGTACTCAGTACCCTTCTGTTGTAGCAACACCGAAGACTCGGACGAAGCGTGGCGCCTGCCCAGCATAGCGGACGGCATAGGTGCAACCCGGCGTGCCATCCGGCTCGCTACACCGGCTCCCTGGCGATCGACCGGTGATTGGGGTGATCGATGAGGTGCTTCAGACCACGAGACCAGGGCCAAAACAGAGCCAAAGGAAATACATGGAAAGACCCTTAAAAGGTGTCCACTGTTAAGTGGTGTTTTGGCCTTTGTCTTCAGAACACCTAAGGGCCTAAGGGCTTTGGCTTTTCTAGTCTGGTTATTTCCATCTATAGTCGTTCTTGGGTGGTGGCCGACCCCCACATCGTCCACAATAGAGGTCCAGTTGTGAACTGAAATCCTGAGTTGAGGGGTATCCCTTGGGATATCCCAAGGATTCCCAAGGTATACAATGTGCAAGTGTGAGGACTATCATTCTAAACTTAGCATATCAATGCATATCATATGAATTCAGGCTCCATGCCAGTAGCTTTTACATCCAAAAGGTTTAGAGGTTTCAGTGGCTTGCTAGACTGCTAGACAGCAGACCAAACTTGCAAAGGATATTCTGCTTGAACTGAGGAATTCAACACTTCCACCAAAGGATGTGTCTGTCTCTGCGTGACTCTCTCTCTCTCTCACTCTCTCTCTCTCTCTCTCTCTCTCTCTGTGGGCATTCCTTTTTGTCAGCGGAGGATAATTGGTTCTGCTTCGCAAACATGTACTGCTGACTGTCTCGTTCGTGCTTCGCAAGCCAGGGGACCCTGGAGAAAGAAGGCTTCGTCTTTGGGATCAAAGAAAGACCAAGTCCAGAATAGCCGAGTCTCTGTCAGCACCATGGCCCACGAACAACTGCTTGCCACAAATCTGCTCAGTGACATAGAAACCAGTACATGACCTCTGCGAAGGTGGTAGCATGTTGGTCCAAGCACAAAGGAGTTTGCATGCGTCTGGAGGGCAAGAGGTGTCCACAACCACCTTGTAGGGACAAGCCCTCTTTTCATCCTCATAGGCTGCCAGCCAACCGCCATAGCGAAGGTGGTTCACAGGCTTGAAGGACAGCCAGTGCTGATGAAAGTCAGAGGTGGCATCTATGACTCGGAAGGTATACCTTAGTAAGCCCCAAAAGCCTGAAAAATAACATGTGAGCCTCTGGAGGTTCAAGAATGTACCGTATCAACAGCAAACCAAAAGGCAAACCAAATGGTCTGACTGAGTCAGCTTTGGACAACTGAGAGACGTATCTGGAACCAACATGTCTCGCCAGTAGACCTGGTGCAACTCGACGACAGCGGCATGCTTCTCATCCCCTGTCACAGCCCAGCCGTCGTGGGTGAGGCACAAGTACCGGTCGCAACCATGCCACCTCAAGGTTGTCTTGATACTCGTCATACCAAACAGTTGTGGGTTCAGTTGCGTGGTATGTATTTCGGAAAACACCAGGTCACCAAACAGTTGTGGTTTATTTCTTTTTCACAGCACTTCCATGATGATTGCAGGGAGTGCAACATCAAGAAATACACCATTGGAGCACGAACACTTTTAGGGCTTTCTCGATGAAGGGAAGCCCTGGCCGCCTGGTTCGTGTGGAAAATACCCGTCCCCTCTCAGAGTGGAGGGGGTGTCTTCTATTAAAATGCACACCCATATCTTGAGTTTATCCCACTACCAGGTTTCAGTGGATGAGGATGGGGCCTGGTTGCAGGCCTTTCCATTTTAAAAGACCGTTTTCTTTGCGTGAAACCATGACTGTTGCAGGTACAGTAATAGGACAGACCCAACCCAATATCCTTTGCATCGTCTTCCCCCCACACTGAACTTCGCGCGCTGTGTGGAACCGTCCCCACCTGAGCTTCGCGCGCTTGGCACCCAGGCGATTGATCCGGCATTTTCCCACGCACACCACGTCCTTCTCAGCGGACTCTTGTAGGCTGCCATTGGACCGAGCAATCTCCTGTGGGACGTGACCCGCTAAGAACCCAGGACCGGCAAAATCTCGGGGTGGTAGACATGGAGTGTCCCGAAGAACCAGCGTGATAAGGGGCTATTTACATAGACACCCCGACAGGAGGGTCCGGCTATAGACGATGGATGGAAAACAAACGCAAGTTACATCAAATTACTCCCTTCTTCAGTGGCTCCCAAGTCACTAGCTTCACGATTTCAACTTGATTCTACAAGGGAATCCTTTTCTAGTTGGGGCTCGCTGATTTCCAGGGACACATGCCAAATCGGTTGAAGCAATGCCAAGTCTCAGGGTAGAAGATTTCAAATGCCCAGCGAAACATGCCCATGCCCATCCCATTGTAGAGCTGCTCTGGCATGGCGATGAAGCAAATTGAGCCCATCAACATGTAGACCAGCAACAGCCGACACAACCAGCTCATCAAGCCAACGCTATGAATGTAGAAGCATTGAACCAGTGCAGGTGCAGCCACCAAAGACAGCCTCATCAGATTCAATGAACGCGCCATGAGCTCATTCAATGTCGTCATCATCTTTGAAGTGGATACGCCATCCTTTACTGCGCACAAATTGACGCCCACCCTGAAGTGGGCGGGATCTGACCAACGTTCCATGGCGCAAAAGAAGGCGAGCTTGTTTCTAAAAGTCTTGCTGGGGAGAGGTTTATGGACATATGTTGCATCTGACAGTATGTCTGTGTTCAATATTCATGCGTTGGTGGGCATAGACATAGACAATGAGGATCACACCAGGAAATCAGCCTCCACCCTTCTTCATAGACGACGTTTTTCAGATGTGCCGACAGAAGTTGTTGCCCCGCGCTGAAGGATGAACAGCCAGGTCGCGCGGGCTGGAGCTCGAATCTGTGTGTCTTGGAACTTCGAAGTTGTACATCCATCCCCTGAAAACTGACATGAAGATTCGTGCAGAGAAAATCCAGAAGGATGCAGCATGGATAGAACACTGGACAGTTTCAATGACCTATCCTTCGACGTTTCTTTCACCTGCTGGGCTAGTTGCCTTTTTTGACAACCCAATCAGCGACCCAACCCTCAGCAACGTGTCATTGAACTCTGGATGTCAGCACAGTTGTTTCCTTTAGACATGTTTGTTCTTTTGACCTGTTTTTCTCTTTACACCATTGTTTCCCTTTAGACCGTTTTATTCTCTTTCTTTTAACATATCTGATATTCATTGGACTATTGTTTTTCCCTTTAGACAAGTTCCGCCTGTGTAGACCTTGTTCTTGTTTACATGTCTTTTTGTTAGATCTATTTGTATCGATTTGTTCTTTTGACATTCTTTTCTTTCCACATCTTTTGGACATCATTCTTGCCTTTAGACCACTTTTTTCTTTTGACCTTTCATGTACTTTATATTCTTATTTCTACATGTGTTCCTTTATCCTCACTGATGGTCTCAGTTGGCCGCTTCAAGCATTCCACCCGCCCGCCTGGATGCTGCTGCTTGCAGTCCTCCTGGACAGGCACGCGTGTTGGCGCTCGGTCCGAAGTGCGGCAGTGCGAGTCATCCCACAAAACACCTGTGGACGCTACGTATTTTTCGGAGTCATCCTATAGGTCCTAGATGAAATGGTAGGACTTCACGGGCTTCCCCAATCCCAGGAAATGGTCGGGCCGAACCTTTGGACTCAAGATCCATGCCTCTTTAAGACACCAAGCATCACCAAGCCATGATGGAAGGTCGAGATCGTTTTTGTTAGGGCCCAAGCAGTGTTGTCCCCTTGAGATACCATGGACATCAATTGGACCCCCATGGCTCCATCTCCACCCTCCGCATCCGAGTGGCTGTCTTCTTGTAGAGAGACTCCAAGGGGCAGTCGCCAATCAGCGAGTACCAAGTACCACTGATGCATTCCTGAACATTCAAACAGTGCGAGAACCGAGACAACGACTGCCCGTCTTTCTTCATATTTTCCGATGTGGCACGGAGCCTGCCCCGGTTTGGAACCGCCTCTCTGCCTCTAACCGATGGCCTCCTCTTGATCCCACCGACCGCCCGAGGAGTCGCCGCCGTCCGTCTCTTCGACCGCGTCGCCGGGGAGTCGGGAGGATCGCAATAGTCCACCGGCGCCTGGCGTGGAGACGGCGTGCAAAAAAGGTATGTGAGCGTGTTTGACGCACAGTGGTCTTCAAGTGGAACCTGATTGGTGAAAGGACACAAGTTTCATCAAGAACAAGCACATCAACAGCATCAAGACAGGTTCGCGATATCCAACGAAATCCCCAAGAGAACACTTCCAGGAGATCAATGATGTTCAATGTGCTATCCTACAACTTCCTGAAATTTGCTATCCATGTATATTTTTGAGGTCACCGCTATCCTCCACTTCCCGGTGCGACCACGGTCTCACGTACTGGCCACTCGGTCATGGTCACCTAAGCAGCCTCAGCCTCTGGGGTGGCCTTTTCCCCGCTCTTCACAGGGTTTCACAGGTCGGCCCTGGTCAGTCTTATTATAGTAAGTTCGCCAGTTTATCGGGTCTTTGGTCGACCCCATGGCAGGTCGATATCGAGAAGCTGCCATGCTACTAAGTCATTCGCCAAACCTCAAGACGATCCTCTCTCTATTGGATCCTTTGGGTCCCCCCCTGGCCACGTGCTCCGCCGGAAGACCACCCATCGGATCCCCCCCTGGGACCCATCGGGACCCCACCGACACGGCGGAAACCGCGGCCGATACCGCCGGGTCGGGTACCTTCAATTCAGCTTTTAAATGGAAGATCTGGCCTCCTGACTCCTAATCACCTCCATAGAAAATGTTGAAATGCCAATCAGTTAAGACTCAAACTTTGGCCATGAGGGTCCCATTTAGGGGATCATCCAAATCTCCACCATGTCTCCCGTGACTCCTGTGCGCTCTCCTTTTGCGACCACCTGCGACCACGTTGACTCGCTTGGGGGGCTGTTCTCGACTCCACCAACGGCCAAATCCTCGCACTCCAACGCCGGCCTGCCGCTTGTAGTTGTAGTATCCCGTCTCCACCGCCTGTAGAGCTGGGCAGTTCCCCCCCGCTGGTGAGCTGCGGGGATGAAGCTGCTGCGGTGGGGAACTCGTCGACAAAATGTGGAGGCATCAAATGATGTACAGTAGATCGTGGCTGTCACCAACACTCCTCTGGGTACAGGTCCAATTCAGGGATCTTCGCTAGTGTGAGGTCACTTGCAAAACCATGTGTTGGTCCTTTGAAGATCTTTGAAGCGTTGGAAGGAGCAAAACCAGTCAGCCCAGAGTGACAGAACAGTCGGATCGGTCCAATCACACACATCTGTCCACAAATCTAGACGACACATGCAGACGACACGACCCCCGGTCGATTTGATAGAAACTCAAAGCCTCCAATACATTCCAATACCATAAGGGACAGAATCACACATTTCACCAAACAGGGTTTCAGTTGCGGTCTGCTCGGTCCTTCCATTCAAAGAACCTCCCTCCAGCGCCTTCGGATCTCACTTCCTCCACCCGAGGTCCGAAAGTGCGGACTGAGACCGCCTGGCATCCGACGGCGTTGCCGAACTCCTTGAGCTCACTTTCACCTCGGTGACCACGGCGGAGTGGGGGGGGGTCCCACGAGTGTTTCACGCATGGCAACGAATGGATGGGGAGCAGTTTAGGATAGTTTAGGATACCACATGATACCAGGAGGTGGTGTCTCACAGTGTCTCATAGTGTCTGGTTGACCGGTTGACCTATCTCTTTTTGAGGACTCTGTTCACTTTTCAGGGGTCAACCACAGTTCTGGGGGTTTGACTCGCACCCATGCAAGTGCTTTGCAAATTGAGTTTGGATTTGTGCAGCGCCATGTGGCGCGTCAAATCCCTTTTGCCAAGGCTCAATGTGTGGCAGTACCTCAGAAAGCGTCAAGTCACGAGGGGTGATGCTAAAACCCGCAGGATCCCTAAGTCATTCTTGCGCTTCTGCTGGATGTTCATCCTTTTTCATCCTGAATCATGCATATGATGTACAATACCTATTGATGTGACTTGTTGTGAGATGGTGTCAAAGGGGATTCTCTCCCAAAGGTCTTTCACTCCTAACTTGTTTTCCGCAAATTCTCGGTGTCCGTTGGTCAATGCCATTCTCTTCGTCCGTTGGTCGTAGATGGAACATCACTCGGTTCACATCACTCGAAATGAGGATCGTTTTCGGATCGATTTCGGCGGGCGCAGCCCAGGCCGCCCGGCTAAAACATCTTCGGCGTGACCGGTGAACATTTTGCATGACATGCCCGTTTTGTTGGCCTTCCTGCACAGCCACTTCCATAGGTCTTAGAATGTGTTTAATGTTTGTTCTACCATATGTTATACTAGACACAATATTCCACAAAAAAAACTATCATCAATCATCCATACGTTGATCATCGCGGGTCGAATTCCACCCTACATCTGCAGCTGAAAAAGCGGACGTTGAGCCAACATCCCCACATCCCTTGGATCTATCCCACATCTTTGCAGGGATAGATCCCCACATCTTTGCAGACGTTTTGGGCACCCATCGCGGGTCTTTTCTTCCCCAACCATCGGGCCTGGTCGGGGCTTCGATCTCCAAGCGGCATCGGGCCTGGTCGAAGGCGCCAAAGGGGCCGAACCTCGCTGGCTCGCTGGCCCCGTCCGCGGCGTCCGGGTCCGGCGAGCTGAGGTTCGGGTCCCGGGAAGTCAAGGAGAATTCCACGGTTCGACCTGGTCTTTCTGTGTTTACATACCAACCCTTGGGTACCCCACCTATGTGGAAGGACCCTAAGAGGCGATGGAGGATCGATCGCGAGTTGGTTTGGTCTTTCTTTTTTTTCTGTGGATATCTGTGGATGATGTTTTTTTCGGATGCAGGCCTGACATTGATCATCTCTTGGCTGACGGTGACCAGTCCGAATCGGGGCTTGTAGCCCGTCTCGCCGGCATCGAGATCGGATCGGTCCGAAACTCCGAAGCGACGGTTTTTCGCCACACGGGTCATGGTTAAAACTGGGAGATTCCACATCCCATGACCTGCTGGGGGTGTGGTAGTGGGACCTTGATCCTGTGAATAGAGACAAGATCAGCTGAGCAAGAATCATCACTCTTCATGGTGAAAGGTGTTGGACATGTTTTGGACACGTGGTAAGTCAAGCTGCTGCCTTCATGTCCCAGAAACATGGGTCCAAAGCAAATGAATCAGTGAAATGAACAAGGAACACATTCAATCATGACCAGTCACTCTGCGTGCTGTTGGTTTCAACATGTCCAAGCGGCTGCTTCCCATGGGTCTCGCCATTGAAGAGATACTGCTTATGCTCAAAGGTCTCTTTCGGGTTCTTCACCTTTGACTCTATAGAAGGGCGGAAGGCGGCATATAACCCTTTCAAGAACTAGGATAGGGCGGCATGTTCCTTTTCTTCCATAAACAGTAGCTTTATTATCTTTGTTGTTACTAGTAGTAAGGCCAGGAGCCCCGTTCGTAGCGTCCGAACGCTCCGTTCGTAGCGATGCCAGGAGCCCCGTTCGTAGCTTCTTGTGGTGTTCGATGTGTCGCCCATTGATGGCCCACAAGGACCATCAAGTCTCAAAAACTGGGCCACGACCTGGGGACCAGCCGAGCGACAGTGACCAAATAGCGAAGAATACCTGAGGATCGGAGCACGTAAAACAACAAGACATCAACAGCAGTGGTGTCTAAAGAAGCGCTTGATTCAGTTCGTTTGTTTGTTCCTTGCCCAGAAGGCAACCTCAAAATTCATTGAAACTATATAACCAACTCAAAGTGCATCTGCGATGACCTATTGATGAACTCAGGAAACTACAGGGAGCAACAAGCGGAATCATTGAATGATTGACCAGGGCCCCCATAATCGATTGCTGCAAATGCCGTGTCAGCAACACAACGCAATTCTTGTCTCTCGTAGAGAACGCACCTGGACCTCGAAAGTAGACTCGTAGACCTCCAAACCACATGTCCAACCTCTTATACTAATCCTGAGTAATTACTAATTACATCTAATTACCTACTGTACTATTATTAGAACACGACCGAATTGAACATTCATGTCCAACACTCCTAATTGCACTTGGATCTTTGAAGAAAACCGCGTTCATATTAGCTTGTCACGACTCACGGCTGTCGACCCGAGGCAATAATGGGAGACAGTTGTTTCAATTTAGCATCGTGTCGCTCATCAGCCACCTTTCACAAAACAAGGCGCACGCACGCATGTTTACTGTTCCTCAATGGCATGGAGTCACACTTTCCACACACTTTTCCACCGAGGCCTCACCAAACCGAGAGGCAGAGTGACATCACCCATCGAAATCTCTTTTGGGACAGTCCGATGGGACGCGCAAAAAAAACGAGCCAAGAATCTCGAAGAAAACCCGTCATCAATCATCAGAGGTTTGGAGGCCAAGACGAAATACATGTCCGAGTTATATGGAATTCATAAATGGAATTCATAACTGAAAGATGGCTCCCAGATGCTCCAAGATGCTCCGATTGTCGTTTCTTTTTTTGAGCTCGGCGCATGCTCTTTCCAAGGTATTATCGTTCTTATGATCGTTCCATGTCCCCCGTAGGATATTTTGAGGACACTCCGGTACCGAAAAAAAGAATCAAACCAGACTCGACCGACCGGAGGTTTTTACTCGGAAGGGCGGGAGGCGTGGCTTTGTGGCTTTGCGGATTCGTCCAGGCATTGGAGACGAACGTGTGGACCAATCCGACGGCAGCCTTACCGGCCTTCCAACAGCTTCAAACAGCTTCAAACCTTCACTGGATGAACGTCCTGGGTTCCACAAGACCAAACTCTGAAAACCCTGAGCTCCGAAAGGTCCAACACCTCGACCAGCTCCGAGCTCCGCGCGTCGGGCGAGAGCTCGGCGAGAGCTATGAAAGGTCCCAGGTACGTGTGACGTTGTACTTCCTGGGGACAGATGCCACCACTTCCTTGTGCAAGTACCACATCACACCGGCCAAGTCACCTCGGACCCGACTGGTCACCGGGTGACCAGTCGGGACATGGTCTTTTTCCACCGACCGGCAGGACCGGAGGGACAGGTTGCAGCTGGGTGTCCTTTTCAAGCTGGGTGTTCCCGTCTAAGACCATTCCAAACTCTAGACCTGCCTTTCGAAAAGGCATCTTCCCTACCGCCTGAGTATCTGGTTTTTTTGGGGCCAAGAGTCCGAGATGCACAGGAAGATGCTGATACGGCATGATACGGGCCGTATGTTCGGGTCCTCTCCACCCTATCCACCCCCTATCCTGGATGCGTCGAGCATCCAAGGTTCACATTCTCCATTGCGTAGCAGTAGTCCTGAGAGAGGCTCAGGAGTGACAAGCAGGGCCTGGCCATCCCCTGGGATTTTTCCAAGAACTCGTGACACTGAGACGCTACTGTCAGACTCGCGTCCTAAGTCCGAACTTCCGTTTTGGATGGCTCCATTAACAGAAAGGAAGAAGGGGATTAATTACTCAAACTCAGAGTACTCTGCACTGCAAACTACTGTAAGATACTACAAGTGGTTGTATCGTGTGGTCAAACCCTTGTTTGTTTGATAGATCTCTCCATTCCTTAGTGAAGAAAAGCAATCCAAAAGGAGAACCCTTTGATGGTTCGACCCAGAAAGTCAAGCCCAAGATTGGTAGAGGAAGGTCCAATACTCCATGAATATGAGTCTGTGAGAGGTTCCAAGATCCGATCCGATACCTTCCACCAGATACCTCCAAAAAGCAGTCGGTCGGGCGTCCGTCCGGGCAGTCCGTCCGGCCATGGAGGAGATCCATCATTTCCAGGGCGACCGATCCATCGGAAATGATCAGCACCAGAGGGGTAATGTATTGGCAGGTTGTACATGATTTCTACGATACTGAACATGATAGAACCATGAATTTTTAGACGGGACACATCACCTGCCACATGTGTTGGACTGTGTTGGACACGAACAACTCTATGTTCCGGACGTTCTGTCATGATGTTGCATCCATTTTGCATAATCAGGTACTTTGTGACTGGCATATGACTAGCTTGGGTGGTTTTAGTCACACATGCAAATAAACCTGAACACCCCGTGTCATCCAGCCTTTCATGTAAAACTGTAAAACTATTATTTATCTAATTTATGTATCTAAATTTATACTGCGAATCATAAAGTTGATTGCACGCTCTGCTTCCGAGCATCACTCTGGGCACGGTACATGTAGAAGGTCATACCTTGCAAAGGACACAGGCGCTCAAACCATTGGCACTTCCGAATAAAAGCTCCTATAGACGTGAAACCTGCCATGCTCAGGAATGTTTGCTGGTCCCGAAAGCACTATCAGTTTACACATATCATATACAGTACCTGAATCTTCCAAATGTTTGCCGGAGGCATCTGTTGTTCAGTGAAAAACACGGTCATCAACAGTTTTGTGCGTTTTGTGCGGGTTGTAAACATGTTCTCAAAATCAATCATCCATGGAGAAAGACGCCGTTTGGACGGCCAAAAGACGCAGGTCGTGTTTCACAAAAACTTGGCCGGTTTCCACCTCGTCACAACCAGAGACGCCGTCTGACAGGGAAAAGCTGTTCAATGAGTTGTTTTTCTCAAAAGGCATTTTTTTTTGTATATGTTGACCGTTTTCAAGATCCTGGTATGTTCACATCATCGACCTCCCAACATGCCTCACCACCTCCGGGCCTTGTCCCACCATTTCTCGTTCCGTTCAGCCGAGGGTGCCGGTGCCAGTTGTGTACTGTATCTGCTCGAAAGGCATTGAAAGGCTGTTGGCTGTTGAACCACTACTTGAGTGGAAACATGTGAAACACATAGGAAAACAATGGAAACACACACGAAGAAACAAGTGGGCCTAGAACGAACTGAACGATCTCAGTCGACCCCTTGCCATTGTACATTCATTCGCTGCACGACAACATGAAATTAAGACGTCAAACTCGCAAGCAATGACCCCACCAGGTAGCCACACCCAACTTCAGCAGTTCAGTCAAAAACCTAAACCAATCAGTCTTGTTACATTGAGCCTTAAGATGCAAAAGACATACTCCCCCCAGCACATCCACTTCCGTTGGTCGACGGCACCGAAACCGAAACCCGTCGACTGCACAGCACCGAAACCGACCTTTCATTCATTCTGCGTCTGAAGGGGGTCTTGGGAGTAGCTCCTTGCTACTAACGAGGTGCATCGCTGCTAGTAACAAGGTGTAACAAGTGCATAACTATACTAGTTACTAGTAGCAAATAGCTAAGAGACGTCCCTTTCTCATCCTTTCCATCCTCCGCGAGCGAGCGAAACGGCGACCGGTTCCTGCACTTCGAGCCACTCACCGCCTCCTCAGCGACCTTGCACCCGTTGGCATCATCCGGCACCTGGGACCGATCGTCGTCGGTCCGGGTGGAAGGCTCCAACGATTCGTAGCGACTCGTCTCGTCACGACGTCCATTTCAGTGAGGTTCTGATCAAGGTGTAACTGATCTGTAAGGCGCTTCCTCTTGAGGCGTTTTTTATTCGCGGGCATCTTCTTGGGGGCGACTCGTCTTAAGATTCTTAAGCCATATTAAGCCCGTTTCGTTCCGTTTTGGTTGTGGTCTTCCCTTGTCCAACATGTCGCAATATGTTGCACTATAGATCAAGATAGATCAAGTAAATCATATGAGGTAGACATGCCCATTCGGCCCTGCACACCCAGCGAGCCCGTGCGGTCTTCCTGGGCTAGAGTGGTCTTTTGCCGGGCTTCCGGGCCATGTTGGGTGGGCAAAGGCAATGACCCTTCACCTCCATCTGCCCATCCTGCCAGCCGAGTCGCAGGTTTAAGACCGTGGGGTCGCAGGTCCAAGACCGTTTGTGAAAAAGACTGGAGGAGCCTGGTGGAATGGTGAAACATCTGCATCTTAAGAGTGACATATTGTAGTAAACAGGACCTCTCAAACTGGATGCCCTCCAAGACGTGGGGCCTATGAAGGCCTGCCTATGTATGACATGATTAGTGGACATTGTCTTTGTTTTCTGTCTCCGGAACCCAAGCATGAGGTGCCTTTGACAAGGCCCAGGCCTCTTCATGAAAAACGCCCAAGTGTTGCACGACACTGCTCTGTTTGGCTCCTGTTCAAACAGGTCTTAGCATGCTGGTTTCTCATGAAGCTTGTTTGGGGTCCCTGGAAACCCCTCCCACGCGGCGGTGTGCGTCGCCCGCTCCTGGCATGTGCCGGCCATCGCTGGCTGCTTGGAAATCCAGGTGTTGTAAAAGTTCACCTCGCCACTCATCGAAACGGCTGAAAACGGCTTCACAGCTTCAAGCAACTTCAAAGCACGACTGCTTCCCGACTACGACTCCACGGGCGACGGGCATCGATCTGGGGAGATCGAAATCGAGGTGATTACTGACCAACCATCGTCGACCGCCCACGCGCAGCTGGGAGCTGGTTCTGTTGGGACGCCGAGACGAAGGGTTTGAACAATGTTCGTTTTGGGCTCCCCAACAGGACCTGTAGTCAAGAATCTCCCCGAGTTCCATATGACTTAAGGCCTTTACTTAGTTCATCTTGCGAGCTTTTTGGCCTTGCTCAGGTGGTCACCACGAGGTTCAGACCTCGGTGACCCTGTGGTACAACAGGGGAGCCCGCCAACGAACGGCTCGGCACAAGTGGTTCCCAGAACTGGCGATCTCGTGATGCAGGAAAGCTAAAAGCTGTTTCATTCACCAGGTTGATTGAAGTATTCACCTGGTGAAGTATTCCTAAAGCTGTTTCAGTGGTTGTCCTTCAACTTCCCAAGCTGTATTCAAGGACACTGAGGTTGATTGAAGTTGGACTAAGGTGAAAGCTGGTCTTGGCTATCACAGATTTGTCACTCTGCGACCCAAAAAGAAAAATACCCTGCTAGATCCCCAAAAAGATGATAGGCATTAATAACGTAGTAACGTAGTAAAAAGGGCGCTATTACTGGCGTCAAGTGGTTATATCCTGTGGCGCCCCAAGCTGGGGGAGTTCCGAACCACCACCGCCGATCTCAGCCATGCACGCATTTGGACACACAAAAAAAGACACCAAACAAAACAAGCGGATATATATATATATATAAATATCTATGGCCAACTTGTTGCAGAATTGCTTGATATTTAAACATGGATAAACATTGTTCCATGTGACATTTTGCTGATTCATTGATATGTAAACTCAAATTGAGACCCCCAATTTGAGAAGTCCTTAAGGGCCGAACACCCAATTTTTTTTGATAAGTCGCCGCATCATCCATGCAGCCACAATCGTTCGGAAGGCATTCCTTGGCATGGTGGGCAGTTGTGGCTTCCAGAGCATCGTGATTCAAGGGTCAACACTGGTCAACATGGGTTGTCCACATTGAACTATGGCAGGATGTGGTGGGGGTTGTGTCACGTCATATTGGGGGTGGAATCTCATGAATGTCCGCTTCCCACGTCTCCTCATGTACCATCAACAGGGTTGTCCATAGTCATCCTACGGGTGTCTAATCCCTGGCAACAAGGGACAGTACCTTACCCCCGCAGTTTCCCTGGAAAATTCAACTAAACACTGTTCCCCTTTCTCCACCTCTTCATTTTGACTGGGGTACTCTCAATTGTCCCCCCCAAACAGGTTTTGCACGCTGATGAACCCCCTTAGTTTGGGTCGTCCCCTTCTCTGGGCCGCTGAAACGAGACCGTTCCGCACCGTTCAATACGCATACGCCGAGCGTCCACCTTGTCGCCCGTGCACCTCAGATGAAGCGATGCTGGGACTCTTACAAGACTTGAAGTGCTCTGGAAGACACCTGTCTTTATATATATATATATATCATAATTAATCATAATGTACTTTCTTATAATTGTGGCGTTACTATTATTTCCGCCTTCAGTCAATGAACAGGTGTTCCAATTATGTTCTGGCCCATCCGAGCTGCTTTTTTGTCCCCAAGGGCGCATGTTGCTCTAGCTGGTGACAAAAGAAACGCTGGGTAGCTGGTTGCTCAACATCGCAATGGCATAGCCACCGAATCGCCTTTTCTCAGAAACCCGCGACGGTCCCTCGTTTGCGATGCTTTTGTTGCAGGAAGCCACGGCGGCTCCCCAGCGAGTGAAGACAGGAGTTTTTAGTTCACAGAGAGAGTCCTCAAAATTCACCCAAAGATGTACACTCCCTGGAATAATCGTGGAAGTTGGATGGCCTGGCCAACAGAAGATTACTATTTTATACTATTTTCCTCTACACACAGGTGGTATCAGGTGGTTGTCCATGATCATTTCAGGGAGTGTACGTGACTAGGGAAAATCTGAGTGTCAAATAGTTCTTGATGCTCCTTCCTCTACAAAAAGAGGAAACGAAGGTCCTCCCTGGCGGTTTGGACCAGTCCTCAAGTCATCCAAAACCAAAAAGGCTCGAGGCCCTTCGTCGGGTTCCAAACGTTCCCAATTGTTCACAAATTTTATCGCAAATTCACACCCAGAAGTGGCGAAACCTGTCAGGGAACCATTGAAGAACCACTCCAGTGGTGGACAAGTACAAGTAGGTCTGTTTCCAGTTTGGGATGGCCTTGATCTGTAAGCCTCCGAAGGGCTTAGAAGGCTTAGAACCTCATAGGTGGGAAAAAAACAATCCTTGCCATTGCAAATTCGTCTTGAACATCTCCCATAGCGGATGGTCCACGTTCACTCTCTGTAAACTTCGTGCACCACACAGGTGCAATCGCTCCCACATGAACCCGACAACACAGTGGTTGGTCCTGCGTTCTTAATCCCCATCCAAGATACCCTTTGACAGAGCACTTGGTGTGGTGGGACTTGAACTCAGCACGGAGCATGACATGTCAGGCGAAAAAACACACATAGCTACACAGCCGCTGGAACATAACCTACTCACCCCACTGGTGCGGAATGCTCAACGCCTCCCCTTGCAAGTTGCCATGCCGCTCATCAGTTGGTGGTATTTGGCATGTTTGCACATATATTTGCATGAATATCCTCCAAAAGGGACAGGGCGGCGTGCATCTGACACAGCCCACAGCTAGCAGAGTTTCAGCCTGAGCTTCCGGCGGCAGCACTTTGGATGTCCCCCGCAGGAGATTGTGCGGTCAAGCCTCCCCAGCCCGGGCTGGGTGGAAGTAATGTAGGCTCTTGATTAATAACCCCACCCAGTTGAATTGAACACCTCTTCATATGGGTGGTTTATTAATCAAGAGTGTAGATTATGAGGAAAACATGCGGCTAGGAGTGAGATGGATGGTGTATCTTTTCTTGTTGCAAGCACCAGCCTGGAGGTATGCCAGCGCCACCGTGGAGTTCCATTGAGACACAACTTGAGAAGAAGGAGGCACGAAAGGTAGGAAAGCTGGACGGTGCACGGGGGGGAACCACAAGGCTCGTACACTTGCAGCCCAAACGAACTTTGTTGATCCGATGATCTGGATCCACCTCGGGACGATGCGGCGGGGGTGTATTGACATATCAATGCCCAGGGGGGTTAGGAGTGAAATATCAATTCCAGGCGGTTTGGTGTAAGCGGTGGTTGGGTGTAAAACGCGTTTTGGTGTAAGCGGCGGTTGGTGTAAGTGGTGGTTTGGTGTAAACGGTGAGTGGTTGGAGTAAACGTGGTGTGGTGCACATGGTGGTTGGTGTAAACCGCGCAGTGGCGTAAGCGGTGGCCAGTGTAAAACGTGGTTTCAGATCTACGTCCGACGCGCTACACCAACAAATCCAGATCCGAGCAGTAGCAGTGGACGCGCTGCGAATGCAGATCTGAGCCGTTGACTTACGGTCCGCGTTGCCGATGTTCTTCCACGAAGGGGTTGGACTGAAAAGCCTGACCATCACCCCCCAGCGCTGAACCAAGCCGGGGGGTGGCTCAACCCCTCTGTAGAGACTGAGAGGTCTGGGGTGCCTTGGCGGTTGGTGTGTCAGGACAACTGCGTGACACCCTGAAAGAAAAATTGTCCTCAAGGCTACCTTACTGTAGCTGATCCCTTTTAGACCTTTTCAATTGGGACTCACGAGGGTCCGGGCCGAAAAAAAGTTCCAGGTCCGCGGCGAATGATGGGATTGGTTTGAGAAATTCACGGTCAAAAGTACCACGTGATTAGCGCAGCCTTTCATCCAGGTAATCTTCGATACTTGACTATACTGATTTGCGACGCTCGGCCAACCGTCTCAGGCCGATTGCGTTGCAGCCAGAGCCGTCAGAGGAGTCCAGCCAAGACTGGCTTGGCAATGCGGGCACATGGACCCGGCACCACCTGGGGAGGCCGGGTGGCACCTGCCGACATTGGTTCGGTAGCTTCTTGCTCTTAGTAGTAAGGCCAGGAGCCCTACAAGTAGTAATTAGCGTCCTTGCTTGTTGGTCCTCGCCTCACCCAGCCGCCAAAGAAGTTCGGCGGCTGAGGGTGGGTCAACTTACATTCTCACACATAGTGCAAACAGATCATCTTGAAATTTACATGATGGACCCAGGATAGTCCACTTGAGAAGAGGGATACACAAAAGGTAGGACAGCGGGAGGAGGATAAGCATGTAAAATCCGCCCGCGCCGAAGGTGCTCAGGGCGTGATCATTCGTCGGATGGCATAAACAACTGTAAGGTACAGGTTTACATGAAGGGGCCATGTTTTGGTGAAAACAATGGGTTTTTGACAGGTCGCGACGGCGGACTTCAAAAAACACTGTTGTTTACAGCACGGAATGGACTAGTTCGTGCACGCGCCCGCCCGGAACCGGCAAGAGTTTTAAAAGTTAAAACATATTGTGCTTTTTTACTTTTGGTCTTCGATTTTCGGTTCTGAGACGCGTATTTTTCCATGTGTCTTGTCGGGAGGCCGGGGGGGCAGATTTTGTGATTTCGGAGCTGTTTGGGTGACGGCTTTCGCCGTTTTTGTTGGGCAGAAACATTGGTTTTTGCAGTGTTTTTGTACATTGCCGAAGCTTGAGTTCTTTGCGCACAAATGTAAAAAAACCTCGCAAATAGCAGTGCTTTTGGCGACCATGGTGTTGAACACGTTGCAAATTGCGATGTTTCTGATAGCTGATAGCAGGTTCAAAAAACACTGTAAATAGTAAATAGCGGTGTTTTGGGCCACGGCAAGCTCAAACATATCGCTATTTGCAGTGGTTTCTGCCTCGCAGAGCATAAAAACACTGTGAAATACGGTACGTAGTGGCGTTTTTGGCAACGTCAACCTCAAAAACCTCGTTATCGTTTTTGTTGGGCAATTGTTTCATGGCGGTGCGGGCAGACCTTGCCGCGGAGCGGCGTGAATATGCAGCGTGGTATTAGTGGAGTCGAATCAAACGTCAACTTGAGAATGGAGGGAACAACCAAAGTTTGATGTATAGTAGATAAGTAGATCTATATATAGTAGTTATATGATAATCCTCAACGACAAGAAACGCTAAAAACAATTGTCATGTCTCTTCATGGACTCAAACACTGCCCCAAGCTTAGAGTGCTCTACACCAAATAACCATCGAGGTGTCGAGGTGATCCACTTCGGGATGAGCGGTCAGGGGGAGGGGGGGGTTGTATTGAAAAATCAATTCCAAGGGGGGGTCTGTATTGAAAAATCAATTCTAAGCGGGGGTTGAATTGAACTATCAATTATTAGATCCGGAGGAGCCCACCTTGCTTCGCAAGACAAACTCAAGGTATCCCCTGAAGGGCTACCTTTCGCGACAAGGTTCCCTTGGTAACGAGGGGAACCCCGTTGCTGCGCTGCAAGAAAGATCCACAACCCCCAAGAACAGTATCCAATCCAATTGAGACATTGTAATGACATATATATGTATATATTTATGTCCTGTGTCACACATCTCTTCCTTGTTGGTTGATGACAAACCAGTGGTACGTTCTCCTCCAACTCATCCGCCCCCTGTCCCTTCGTGTCGGTTAATCTTTGGGCGCAAAGAGCTACTTCCAGGGCCATTTTCGGCGATTGAAGGACTGCATCTTCCACGACTTGCCTGGATACCAGTCAGGATGTTGATTGATGCCTGTGGTCTTGATCCAATTGATATCTCCCCTCAGCTCGTCGCCAGACGCGTCCGAAGCCAACGAACGCCAAGATCCGATCTGTGAGACCAAAACGGCAGGATTGATGTCCAAACCCATACACTCCATGAGACTGCCATATATGCCTACATTGACCCCCCCAAACCACCCCAATGTAAGCATATATGGCATACATGGAGTGTCTGGGAAATACTTTGACTGACACGTGGCAGTTTGACGGGACATATTCTCGCTTCTCGAGCAAACACACCCAAACAAAGCGAGGTGCCCCCGAAGTGCTGGCTAAGTTCTTCCTGTAATCAAACCACAGGTGATCAAAAAGGTTGTAGCATCCTGAAAATATCCTGCAACCAGCGTGCAACTGACAAAAGAGTTGGAAAATGGTTCCCTTCAAACTTAATATTGATTAAATTGGCTTTAACAGCCGCCAGGCCAGGGATGACGTTGGGATCTTGCCACTGAATATCAGCCAGGAACTTCCCCCCGGTTGATGCATTTTTTGGGAACATGTGATATGAACTTCTGAGACTACTCATCTGAGACTCCGCTGGCGCAGGAAGGTCTTCTGCACAATTAGTAATAATATCATCACGCATGTCATCACATATGGATTAAGAATAGCCCACTTAATGGCCTTTTCATCCTTTCTCTTTATTTGCTCTTTTCCATTTCAAGCTGTTTCTTCACCCCCACGAGATCCCCACCTCGACGGGATCCGTTTGTTCCCTCCTCCTCTCTGGTGTCGCCGGGTCACACGCAGTCGGCTTCGTAGGGCGCCACGGCGGTGCGGCAGCCGATGCGCGCAGGGATGGGCTCAGGCCTCGGTGCTCGCACGGGGCTTGTCGCTCGGGACGTGCGAGACGGGTCCCTTTTTTGCGGGGGAGGCCTCCAGTGTTTTGGGACGGGAGGCCTCAGTTTGTGTTTATTTTTCCATGTTGAAACACGTATTTCGTGGTGTGTTGTGTTTTTAGTTCAAGTTTCTGAATTTTATTGTTCTGTTTTTACACCATGGCAATCACATGACAACCTGTCGTGAGGAGTTATGTATCTGACAAATTGTGGGACATGTATGTACAGCAACTATACTTGTTGGCACGCTGGCATTCAATTGATGCTGCGTTATACCAGGAATGCAAACATTAAGCAGAAGCACTGCGGATCGCGAGGTGTGCTTCATCATCTTCATCTTGACATTCGTCGTTCACTCCTTCTGTACTCATTGTACTCCTTCTCATCTTTCCTCTTCATATTCCATCCATCCACTTCATCATCCTCCAAGCACTTCCAACTTCAAACTGCCTCATCTCCCGGCATCCCGGACCTTCCCTCCCGGTTCCAACTGGGCCAAGACCTCCCTCCCATTGCCGTGGCCGTGGCCGACCTCTCCTCCTTCGCTGAGCCTTCGGACGGCGGGGTGGGGTCGGTGGTCAAGGCCTGCGACGCCAACATGCCCGCGGTCTTGGCCGCCGCGGGCGGCATCCCAGCGGCCTCGGGGCCCGGGAGGGTGGTGGGGGAGGGTCGTGGATGTAGCGATGGTTGTTTGGGGAGTGTGAGACTTGTTGATATTGATCTGGATCCTGCAGGATCTGTAAAGAGACTCTGGACTCTCGTATGCACAGAATGATGTAATTCGGTTAGATGGCCTTTAGATGAAAGGTGATGGAAGTGCTTTCCGGTTTCCCACCGCCACAAACAAAATATATGGATACATATGGTATCATATGGTCATTCCTTCGCACCAGCCAAGCAACGTCTTGAAGAGTTGCCCAGCTCAATTTTCTAGTAGTAACAATTAGGGCCAATATGGGCCAATTACAGCAAGAACATCGCTTCGACATTGCCAATCCTCCACATTTGGATGTCCTTGCATCCATGTAGATGCCATATCAGCAATGGAACCATTCGCATGTGTTCTGGGCTTCCGAACCAATCCGGCTTGCGTGGCTGCAATGGAGGCCAGCTTTGCTGCGGTCTGCGAAGAGAAAAGCAGGGCGAGCGAAGGTGGCTGTTTGAAGGGCTGTCTTCGAGAAGACTCCCATGGGTTCCTAATTCTTGTGGATTTCTCGAGATTGCATGTCCACTCACTTGTGTGACGCCCAAGCAGGGGTAAGGGATCAAAATAGAAATAAAAATAGAATCAAAAAATATTCAACGGGGATCAATAACCCCAAAAAAGGTAATCAAAAACATAATATTCTAGCCCACAGAGGATGGTTGGGGTAGTAGTAGTAGCAGTAGCAGTAGCAGCAGCAGCAGCACCAGCGTAGCAGTAGCAGTGGCAGCAGTAGCAGCAGCAGCAGCGCAGCAGCAGCAGGAAGAGGAGTAGTAGTAGTAGTAGTAGTGGTAGCAGTAGCAGTAGTACCTACTTTCTTCCCAGGGAGCTGCCTCTAGTAGAAAGCAATCAAGCCTCTATTTGCGCAAGCAGGGGACCAGGAGATCGACAAACGAGCGCCGTAGGAGAGCAAAAGACCAGCGGACCAGGAGACAGAAGGACTAGGATACCAGGGGACCAGCGGACCACAGGACCAGAGGACCAGGAGACCGGAGGACCAGGGGACCAGTGGACTAAAGGACCAAGGGACCAGGGGACCAAAGGACCAGTGGACCAAGGGACCAAAGGACCAAGGGACTACATTACCAGAGGACCCGCAGACCACAAGGCCAGGAGAGCAGCAGAAGAGGCCTATCCAGGAATATTTTGTTTTTGATTCGCTTTTTATTATTTTTTGATCCTGTTTTTACTTTTTTTTTGATGCTCTTTTTATTTTTTTTGATACCTATGCCCCCAAGCAGGGCCTCGCTCCACAAGAGTGGATTTCAAAGCAGGGCCTCCTCGCCTCGTTTTGGGAACCTTGTGGTTTTACCAGTTTCTTGCGCGACTCCTGTGGTTGCTCCAATGTCCACGTGCATGAGGATTGAAGGCATCAACTCGCCCAAGCCAAGAGCCCAGAACTCAAAACCGAGCATAGATCCTTTGCAGGGAAGGCCATCAACACCATCATTTGCCTTGGGGACCCCGTCTGTGTTCGTTCGTATCTTGAACATCTGGTGGGTTTAGGGTTTCTGTCCAGATCCGGGAGGCCGTTCTTTTGTTAAACCATCAACACCTACCCCGCATTAAAAAAACAAAAAACAACTCACGTTCGGACCTAGAAAACCGATGTCAGAGGGACAAACAGTCTGGATATTTGAGGGTGTCATTCGACCCGGGTTCATGTTATCAGCTCTATGCCCCATACTCAATTACAGGCACACTTAATTGTGTGCCTTTATTGGCAGTGTATATGTGACCTTCATCGCCTGAAGAGTCTCACGGACACGGACGGAGTATCACTCGACTCGTCGTGAGACGGACGTATGTGACGCACTTGTCCGAGGACGCAGCTCACCTTCTTGGAGAAGCCGTAGGACTTGGCCTGAGCAACGACCGAAGGAGTTGAGAAACCTGCAAAAAAGCTTCAGCTTTTGCATCGTTGGGGCAGTTGGAGTTAACTAAATGTCTGACTGTGATTTCCTCCTCACTGAAGTTGTTGGGTTGCAGGGATGTATTGAATCATTGAACATTCAGAAAAACACACACACATGACATGAGATGTCGGGTTTTTGAAGAACTGGTGATGCGATTCTTCAGAGTGCCAACTACATCTACAAGAACACCTCGTAATCACCTTGTATACCTTAGCCTTGTACCTCAAAAGAGGACGACAAGAACACCTTTGTAAAATGAAAAGAGGATATATACACATCGCCACGAGATCCGAATACTCTTCGAATGCTCCATGCCACTCGTTCCCCACCTCCCAGTGCTTCGCCACCTCCCAAGTGCTTCGCCTCGCTGCGGTTCGCGCCGCGGCGCGCCTTCTTCGCCGCGGCCTCTCCGGCCAGCGTCGCCTGGTCGGCGGCCGCCACGCCGCCCTCGGAGGCCTTCTCGGAGGCGGCGTCGATGCCTGGCGGCGTCGATCCCTCGGGGGTGCGTCGTCAAGGGAAGGAGATGGGTGCCATGGAAGGTTTGATGGAGGCCGAAGCCGCGTCTGGAAATCCGCGGAAATCTTGGAGTGTTTCTTCTTTGGAAATAGGATCGCGAAAAACGAAGTGTGGGAGTAGTTCCCCCTGAAAAGTCCAATGTTTGCGGATGTTTGATGAGTCTCGGAGTTTGGGGGTGTTGAACAATTGGAGGCAATATCTGAAGGTTGGGGTGGTGCCTCTCAACCCTCTCCCGTGGTCAGTGGGGCGAAGGAAAACTTCTTCAGATTGGCGAAGTCTCAGGGAGCTTCTTAAAGAAGACTGGGGGAAAATAGTCAGTGGATTCTCACATGGTGAGGTTTGATTCGGCCTGGATGTCTGCCATTAGCGGCGTACCACTGACCAAGTTGAGATCTCTTACGCTTTGGCAAACTGCAGACTCACCAATGTAGTTGGAAGGATTCCTAGGTTTCCTACCACCCATGAAGGGAACGCGGTACATGTATAGTAGCACATGATTCATCAGTCATCCGTCCACGACCGTTCTTCGGCGCAGAACATCGGCGCTCTTCGTAGCAGTCGTCTTGTTTCCCATCTCGCCTGCATCCACCACCTTTCGGAGCAGAATTCCATCACAGCGACTGTCATTTTGAGGGAATTTGGATGTAGCTGACTTCCAGTCATCGTAATCTGTGGGTATCCATCCAATCTACTATCCAAAAGACTCCCTGACACTGTTGGTACATCGTCTCGCAGCAATCGCTGGGCGATCACCACATCGTCTCGCAGCAAACACCAACATCTGATATCGACACGTCCTTGCATATGCCCAGCAGCCCTGCTTAAACCATCATCCAGAGTGTGGAGGAGCAATTGCCCCAGTTTAAATACGAAGCATCTGGGACCCATTTGCGGTGCAGTGTGGTATTGTACCAAGCTACTTACTTGTGTTCCAACATGCTTCATGTATAGGTCGAAGGTATGATTTAGGTCGAAGGACTGAGTTGTATTCCGGTCTATGGAACGCACCAGGGTATACACCGTGCCGACTCCAAAAGCCTGACAATGCAGCCTGCCAAGGTCACTTGGAGATACCTGGAAAAGGGGGATCTTCTGAAAGACGGGCTTTCACCCTTCATGCTTAAATGTTGCCTGCATTACTTGATCGCACATCACGCCGACATCCCGCCGACATCCCGCCCCATCGCCTCTTTTGAGGAGGCGTCCAAGTGAGGCATCCTCATGTCGCAGCCGAACCAAGGGACACCCTCAAAACTGACTGGTGCAACTCGTAGGGAATGAGGGAATGGATATTGATATGAATGCATCCTTATTCCATACGAGGGGGGCCATGAACCCTCATTCCATACGAGTCCGTCGCGGTCTCAAAGTCTCAAAGTCTTGAGACCAGGCAAGCCTGGCTGCCTTTATGTATATCCCTTGGGTCTATCCTATTGCCAGATTTCAGTGGATCATGATGCTTCAGTTGCAGGCCTGTCCATCTCTAGTGATTTGAGGATTTGCTTGTTGTACTGACTGTTACAGGACAGTTCGGACAGACCCAATGTATTGCATGTGTTTTCAACGTCTTCGATCCAGTCTCCGCGTCTCGCTTTGGTTCGGTGTGGCGGTGTGGCGGGCGCCCCGCCGGGCCGGCGCGGTTGACGCAGTTCCTGTTGCGAAGCCCATGGTGGAAGCTCTAAACACATAGGTTGTACGCTGATGATAGGACTGGTGCTTGACAACCAGTCCAAGCGGCAGTTCCTGTTGCGAAACCGTCCCAAACGACCATCGTGTGGACTCCGCTTCCAAACGCGACGGCCGGTTCTCGTGGCTTCTCGTGGTTCAGCCATGGACCCCACGTTGACGGCTGGGTCCAAATCCGGAGACCTTGCTTGACCACCTATAGATGAAACAGAAGTCTGACCACGAAACGGGGACATGGGGACAGGGGCCGGGCCATGGGTTCACGCAATGTGTGTGGGACATGGTTTTGGTGGGTTTTGACCCACAAGGCCGACGTCAACGGTCGGTCAGTGCCCAAACTCCGTGGATCTCGGTAACACCGACCGCGGTGGAGGCAACGCGGCAACGCGGTCGCGCCAGACCGGTCCTAAGGCTGTCGTCCTCTTGCTCAGCTCCATCCTCGCGAGCACGAGAGCAAGACTTCTATGCCGTCGTTTCCGGCATTTTCTATTGAGGTAGCAGCAGGGACGGCAACGGCTATACCATGCGTACATCTCATGAACACAAACGAAGACACATTATGACACATGCCATTTACACACATCATTTCACCTGGACCGTTTCCTATCTTTGGCGGTGAAGCCAAACCAACGTAATTATCGTAATTAAAGCAAATGTAATTATACAACACTATTACGACATCTCCAAACGCTTTTCCATGCCCATGGAAGTGCAGAACGATACGAAACGCGCTCGCCCCGTCACCGGTCCCCGTCACCGTACTCGCCGGACTCGCCCTCGCCGTCGTAGGACTCGCCGTACTCGGACCCACGGCTGTAGGACCCACGGCCGTAGGAGTCTCCGTAGTCGCCCTCGAAGCCACCTCGGCCGCGAGGGTAGCCGCTCTCGTAGCCACTCCCTTCGTAGTCCTGCAGGTTTCGACGTAAAGGTGCCGGGTCCAACTGGGCGAACATGCCGGATTGGGTGGTCGAACATGCCGGATTGGGTGGTCGGTCCAATAGGTGTTCTTTTGTTCGACAAAGCGGTCTTCGATCTTCTGGGTCATGGAACACCAACGAAACCAGGACTGCCTCTCATGCGTTTCGTGCAACATCTGGTGTGCAGCTTCCCTGTTTCCAGCCATTGCCTGGTCAAAGCATCTCCTGCAAGAGTTTACTGCATGTGTTTGCTGCAGTCATGTATATAGACCGATGAACTCTTATATAAATGAAGCCCCCCCCCAACCCACCAACGCAAGAAAAGCCGGGGATTTTTGGTGAACACGACTTCCTTCATCTTCCTTCAGCATATGCATCAACCATCCTGGAGAATGCAGCATTGAATCATGATGGTGGTGGCTCAAGTGATCGTGAACACCTCTAGTAGTAACAAGTGCCTTACTAGTAGGAACAAGTGCATCGCTAGTAGTAACAAGTGCCTTACTATATAGTAGTAACAAGTGCTGGGATCCTTTACGCGTCGCTCCTGGCCGTCGTCGTATCGCGGCGCAGAGTCCTGGGTGCCGAGTCGTGAGCAGTCAGTGGCCCACATGGTCGTCGTGGAAGGCGTGTTGACGGTGGATATTTGTTGATGACCCCCCCAACAAGGAGGGTCCTAGGTCTCCAAATGGGGGCATCTACACTTCGCGAAACAAGCATGAAGTGGAACATGACCTCTGGAAGAACAATTTTCCTACCAAACAGGTGGTGAACTCAACTTCCAGGTGGGGAAAAGGGTCTTCCTCAAACTGTTCAAGAAAAAGATTTGCGGGACGTACCAAACAACTTCAATCCGGTGCTGAAGAGTTGCACGATTGAGTGTCTTCCAAGTTGAAGAGTTGCTTTAGCAGGTCAGACTTTTCAAGATGGAACAAAAGATTCTGGGCCATCCAACATGTTTCAACCAGCAATTGGAATCTGCATAAGGTGATTCCCCTTCATTCTTGGCGACCAAATCTCGTCTTGAAGTGCCAGGAGGGTTGTCAATGTGCTGCACCGAAAACAAACCTACTTGAGCACCCAAAGAACCAATCATCTGGCAATGCGAAGTTACCTCGCCCGTTTATCCGAAGTTACCTCCCCAAACATAACAAGCATGGATTGCTTACCGGGGTACTTGCTAGGGTTCCTGTGAAACTTCTGGATATCCATGGATATCCTGCTTCTGGTCCACACCATTTGCATCCCAGCCATCCAACCAAACGAAAAGCATATGAAACAGCCAGGGGCAAGCGGCTAGCCAAATGAGTTCTTAACTTTTCTGAACGACAAACACCACCACACCGCCACACCACCAACAGCTGCAAGGATCTGCGTAGCGTTCTGCACCGCCACCACCCCAATCAGACGCTATTCCTCACGAGAACCGGAAGAAATCACCTTGAGTCTCTCTTGTGGGACCAGGTTCTTCGTGGAGCTCAAGATGTTTTTGATGTTTTTGCGTCAACTGTTAGTGTGTAATACACTTCTCTGGCGGTTTCAATCAGTGCAGTGTAAGTCATACGTCGTCATACTATACCACCAGGGAGCGGTCCAGATCTACCCATTATTCGTCCCCTATAGTTGACAGACCAAGGTCTATAGACTCTCCATCTTCGTTGCCACCGGGTTTTTTGTTGAACACCGGGGCACTGCACGCCCTTTCGTTGTCAAAGATGTTCACATTGCAAATTGAGGATTCGTGCTTTTCAGAAAATTCTCTAGATTTAGATTTGAACCCGCACACAAAACACATCAAATGTATATAAAATAAATATACAACATTATATAATATTAATATATATATATTTCTTACACCTTTTGAACCATTTCTTTTAGATTGAAGAAACGCAAAAGCAACCCAAATCAACCCAACTTATCCCAAATTGATCCGTTGCACCTTCAAGATCCTTGAAGCAAACATGGAGCAACCAGAACAACTGCAGCACTGTCTTCCTTTGGGCAGGTCATCGCGTGTTTTTTCTTCGTGACCTTTCAGGGAGTCATCGCTTCGCTTTGTTTCCCAAATGGAGAAAACGCCCCGAGACGGTCCTGAGTCAAACCAGTCTTCGGTAGGCGCCTGCGAGCCACCGACGAATACCGAAGGAAAGAAACTCACCGGAGATGTTCCCTTTTTTCGCAAATCCGGGCGAAGAAGGCGTGTTTGCTTGCACCGGTGGATGGTGAGAATGACATGTGACATGAGCCAATGAGTTTAATTCTTTCCCCAAACATACCAAACATGGAAACGGGTGAAAAACCCACCCATCGAGTAGAGGAAGTCCTCATCTTCCATGGGCCATTCTGTCCCCATTGTGCCTTCTTGATTGCTTAAGGTCCGAGTCTCCCCATGGGCCCATGGGCCGCGCGTCAAATGAAGCGTCACGGACGAGGGAGTTTCCAGTTGCTGAACTCAAGTTTAAAAATAGCTGAACACCACCTGGACCATCCCAAATGGCTGCCCTGTCGGGAGATCCCGAAGCAGTGGGCTGGGCTGGGCCGTCCAGGTGACTAATGCAGTTTTTGGCGCAAGAACTGCAGTGCATTGTGACGGCGTGCTACGGACAGTGCAGTGATGGGCCGTCAGACTCTCAACAACTCAATGCTCACAAGAACCCAAAGAGCTCTTCAGAACTGCACCTTCCTCCCACCCATGGATCCGAAAAAAGACTCTCCCAGGAAAAGGACCCAACATGACCCAAGCCACTTCCATCCACTTCCCACTTCCCACAGCTGTTGCTCGACTCGCCCACCTCCGCCTTGGAAGAGACTGCCCCAGGTCGAGTAGAGCCTTCGCGGTCCGAAGCTGAGACTTCATCAGTTCTTCGGGCGTCGTGTTCGGTCCAGGTGGGGCCTGCAGTGGTGTCCCGTTCGTTCGAGCCACAAAGCCACAAAGCCGGACCAGGTCCCCTTTCAAGAGGCAGAACAAAGACCAGTCTACCCAACATAGCCACAGACTGAGGTCTCCCCATTCAATTCAAAAAGACACAACCCTTTCTTGACATGCTGAGGTGACATGCTTCTTGATACGTCTCCAATAGGGTGCCACTTTTTAGAGCAACGTTTGAGAATACCACCCGACTCCTTTGTTCTTCTCTATATACTATACATGGAAGATCAATGGAGCTCGGGGCTGTCAAAACATGTCAAAACGTACGAACCACGGAATGAAGGATAATCCCATGTGTTTCATTGTTCTGCATGATCTGAACGTTTGTTGTGCAAGTCGACATCCTGCGACACCGAACTTGAGTTACAATGCATGAGGCGAGCCTACTGGCAAGCCTATATATATATATAGACTGCAGGATTTCCATGGAATAATAAAGGCCATCGCAGTTTCAACCCATGCTTTCAAGGCTGTCAATCCTGCAGGGCAAGTAGATGCAAGTAACTATGCAAGTAGTACGTATATAAGCGTACCCCACAAAACTACTTCTTTTAACTATGGGACGTCGCCTCCAGATCCAGATCCAGCGTTTTTCTGCGTTTGGGACACACACGTGTTTCCAGAGTTGTATGCACCGGGTTACGAAATACTTGCAAAACCAAAGGAACAATATAACATCAATACATGCATATTCAAAGGAACTATATCATAGTGCTCAGCTCTTGCAGATCACTATGGAGTGCCCTTTCTCCGGGCATTTTGCCAGAATTGTCGACCAGTCGCACCTTGAAAGACAGCCAAAACCACGAGCAAAAGGGCAGCGACCTGAAGGTCAGATTCCGGCAAGTAAAGGCCATAACTGTCATAACAGTATCCTTTAGTTGCAAGAAACATGTCCAGCCATAGTTTTTTAAAGCAGCTAAAAACTGGGTACATAATCTTAAGAAACATGTACATCCATGCAAGTCCATGGACATTCTCTTCTAGCAGTCGGTGTTGACACACACACAAACAAATACACAATGCATCACAATGCCAAGTCCTTTTTCAGCTTTCCATGGCGGGCTATCAGGGCTAGTCTGAGACCAGTGGTAAAAAAAAGGATTCCAACTCGATCGGGTTTGGCTGCATTCATTGGGCTGCATTTCACAAAACATGTGAAAGCGGGAGACCTCTGAGTACCGGACCCGACATTACATGCATGTATGATCGACTCCAAATACCTTAAACATCATGTTTATTGTCATTTTTGGAGGGTATTGTAGCGTCATGTAGCAGTGTCGGTCGCTTCTTCTCTTCTCAGCAGGCGTAGATGAGTCAGTGAGGAGGTGTCAGTCGAAAAATCCAAGCTTGATATAGATGATAGATCCAAATATATCCAAAACCATCGGCTGGGGCGTTCGACATAAATTCAGTGCGCCATGGGCCGTGCCTTAAGGGGAGCCCCTCTCAAGGCCCCCCCTGGAATAGTCTATAAATTATTCTGACCCCTAGTCACATCGATGCTGGAAGATATTCTGGTATGTCATTCACATTCAGGAATAATTTCTAAAATTTCTTAAACATCTGGATGCAAAACCACGTGTTTGAATTAATTTTGCGTTGAATGTCCAAGTATAGGTTCCTCTCCTAGTGAGAGCTTAGGGGGATCGGTGAGAATGTAACAGAGCCAGGACTGTGGACAATTGCAATGGCAATGGCAAGTGGTGCAGGAGCCAGCCAGTGGCACATATTTATTCCAGGGGGGGCCTCCACATCTGAAGGACCCATGTGCAAATTGAGCCCCTAAGCACCCTGGGCTGCATACAGGCTGCCCTAAGCAGCTACAAAGCAAAGGACTGTGAGAAGGTTGCAGAGCCAGGACTGTGGACAATTCCAGATTGTACATGTATGTACGTACCTCTGGGTTCTTCTGGTATCTCTCTCATGTATGTACATGTGTGTACATCTTGGAATATTATTCCAAAAATTATTCCAAATTTATTATAGGTAGTACCTTGAACCACTACCTAGCTAAAATATTATTCCAGAAATATTATTCCAAAAAAAATATTCCAGTAGGTCAGATGACCCCTGGAATATTTTTTTCAGCCACCCCCTTTTTCATGCGCCACAAGGCAATACGCAACGTACGTAGCTTCTTGCTTTCCAAGCGGCGGAAACAGCGCCTAAGAAACCTCAGGAGGATGTGGACACACACATCGACTTGGGTGTGCTTTCCTGTGTCACATGTGGACAGTAGATGGCACAGAATTCCTATGCGCAAATATATAATGTGTGCTGGTAGTTTTAGCTTTATCAGGAAGTAGTCTGTTAGTCTAGTCCATTCTGGGCAGCCCCAAAAAATGCAAGTATACCATATACCTACTCTTCTTGCAGTATTCCATCATATTGTATTCATATTCCATCCGCATCTTTTCCGGAATTGCATGGATTGCAGTGTCACTACGGGGGTACTCGTGCCAGTCACTTTGAGAAGTGACTGGCCACATGGTGAACGGCTGGGACTCGGTTCCTTATTCTGGGTGGACCGATGCTGACTGCGTGAGGCCATCTGCCAGCTGGATCAGTTTCTATATGTTTGGATGCCTACCTTGAAGGTTGGACCAACTCTGGGAAATCTCTGGGCAGTGAATTTGGAAGAGAAGAATCAAACACTACTAATTATGACCTATAGACAGACCATCCACTCCGCCAACTCAACAGCTCAAGAGCAGCCAGTCGTGCTTGTTTTCCATTCGCGAGCATCATTTTTTAATGCCACTTGGGACGTGTTCTGTGAGCAAAACCAGCCCCCACGTCTGGCCGACTCCAAAGCGACGGTGAAAAACACAAAGATGGACCTCTCTCCACCCAAATGTGGGCGGAGCAGTGCTTTGTAAAAGCGGTGCCTTCCTTTTTTGGGTGTTGGAACCGTTTTTCTTTTGTGGGTGGCTCTGAGGCTGCTTCAAAAATACTAGTTACTAGTCCGTGGGATCCGATCCACCCAAGTAAAGGTTGAATATGGTTGAATCCCTGGTTGCCAACCCAGATCCACCCAGATTACTGAAACCAACCCTTCAACCACCTTGGTGCGATCAGATCCGACCTGTGGTTGCATCAAAAAATCGAAACCGCCACCCAGATCCACTCCCATTCTCCACCGCAAAAACCAGCGCTTCATTGGGCTCTGCAAACGCGGTCGAGCTGCCACCACTCCAACTGGAGCCACCGGTGGGTCGGCTCACCTGCCGGTGAGTCGCTGGGTCGCCCGGTATGGGTTCCAACCGGGTACGGTCGGTCTTCGTTCGTGGGGTCGTCTACTGGACACCCAGAACAGGATGATCCAGACTCGGTGGAAACATCATGAAACATCATGCGGTACATGGCTTCACTCCCCAAACACACGGTAAGGGGGTACAGTAGGTCTTCGGACAGTGGCACTCCAAGTCAAGAAAAGACATCGAAGTGTAGGTCTTCCTGTTTTGGCCTTCGGAACATGGTCATCCGTTCAGGGCCGTTTTCCATCCATCCACGTTTCATTAACCCGTAGCTTCAACGGGAGTGGAGTGTACGTCTTCCAGAAAAGGCAGGTGCTCCCAATGCTTCAGGTAGATTCTTTACAGAGTCTTAGGGAATCAAGCTGGAATCAGTATGAATCAGTTCTCCCCGAGGAGAACTGGAAGGATCTGGAAGGTGAGCATTCATTCATGCCGAGCCGGTGCGACATCTTGGTGTCCCCCAAAGATGAACCTCGCAACAAACACATGGAGTGGTTCGCACGCAGTGGTTCGCACAAACGCTCATACCAATGGTTGTATTCCCAAATGGAAGCAATCATCGCCATGAATACCGGTCACGTTGAAAGAGCATTGCAAACCACCGGGGGAAAAGCGACCAAAGCAAGATCCAAAGGATAAAGCTTCGACGGAAGAGCCAGACCAGTCTCACAAGGATGCAAAGCCTCCAAAAGAAAGACCAAGCCTCCCTTTGGAGAAAGCAGACAAGCCCAAGAAAGATAAAGTAGAAAAACCACCTAAGCCCGATCCAAACGATCAGTCCTGAGTATCCCTGAGTAATTCTATAGCAAGTTCACTTGAGGGGGGCACAACATGCCTCATTTGTCACAGCAGCGTTGTTTTCATGGCTTTAATTGCTGTAGATCGTGGTTTTGCATGGTTTTGATATGATCATTTGCCATCAACTTGACCCACTTCCCACCCTCCCAACCCACCCACTGACAGGAATTGTTCTTTTACACCTCTCAAAACGGCTGCTGCGCATGCGCTCCTCGCTGCGCTCTATGTTCTCGGCCCGAGCAAAACACACACACAGTTCGATCTGGTTCATTCAGTAAAGATCATCCACACAAGGAAGAAGATGAAGGAAAAGCAAGGGTATGACACACACACACACACACACCGGTGACCCAATCCTCACAGGTGAGCACCACCCACCGCGCCTCCAGCAGCGGCGACTCGACGGACTCCTCGTCCACGGGTGGAACCTGCGGCAGGTCAGCCCCTGAAGCCGTGGAGGTTCGAAACGGTGTGGGACAAGCCATGAAATCGCCTTCCAACATCGACACCAGGTGATGTGGGATTTTTCCTGGGACACATCGCCTGAAATCACCTGGTGTCGATTCGGAATGGGAAGAAGCTATGTCGATTCCGGAGGTGATACGGCATGAAACATCTTCAAAACCTCGACTACAAGTGGGACTGCTGGATATATGATATGAGTTGCACTTGGAATCACTTGGATATATTATGAGTTCTTTTTCCGGGGGACCTGCTCCGTCTCGTAAACAGTGAAAGTGGAGCTTAATGCCCATGCCGACAGGATGCCCCAGCATACCCATGGAGCTTCAATCCCACCAGGCCCACCAGTGGTACAATGCTCCCCTATGTTTCCAATGCAAGATTGGTGACAATTGATATTCTTGCCTATAAGCGTTATGTAAGACTTATCCCACCTCGTCTTGGGGGATGGGGCCCAGCTCATCATAAGAGATTCCCAGCCGCCTCCTCATCTAGGCTTGGCATGGTGTGCGTGAAGGCCAGTCACGCTTGAGCAGAATCAATTGCACGCGGATTTGGCAAAACGAAAGGACGTGGGGAATTGGATGCTAAGATCATGAAAGGTTCTCCTGGTTTCAAACCTGAGAATTGATGTCATCCAGTTGGGTCCCTTTTTTGGGGACCTGATCATGTTTCGGCATCTTGCTACTTGACTGGTCTGAGCCCAGCGACGGTGAACACATATGTGAATGCACGACTTTCAGAAAGGGGCGTTTGATGGCGTTTGTAATGAAGAGCACCAGGGAACTTAAATGGAGTCATTCAGTTTCACATGTTAATTACAGTACACGGTAGATTCGATTCTAGACGCACACGCACAAAGTCCGATCATTTAGGATGAGGTGCAGGTGCCAGTATATTAATTCCGTCGGCATGCATGAACAATTAGTCGCTACTATGTGCACAAGCTGCGGCACCACAAAGAAAGCACATATGTTCCTGGAGTGGAAACTTGCTCCTACAAAGACCAGGATGCGATATGCGGACACTGGTCACAATTCACATGCACTCAAATCAGCTTATGCACACTGTGGCTTTTGGTTTGCCACGGTTCTCCCTTCTGATATACTTCGTTGATCATGACTGTCATGACCGTCTTTCTGAGAAAGGAATCACAGAATCACACATATCCACTAATTGCTGTTCAGAGGCGTTTTAAGGCTTACACAAAGTATACAGTAGTAATGTATACAGTAGTTGTATAAAGAATTCTCATGATTTCTTCTACCAGCAGCTGAACCACAACGGGCTTCATGTCTCGACTCTCTCCTCGCTCACCACAAAACCACTTCCTCTCCATCTCACCTCGTCGTTTCCGCTTCTCCCGGTGCCCGTGCTCGCAGAAGTTCTAGATAGGACCGTGCCCGTGAGCCTGTGAGGCACCCCCCCTGGGCTCATGGCCACCTTCGTCGCCGTCTCGTCCGGGCGTCCCGACTTGATCCACTCGGCCACCTCGTCGCCAGGGTCGTTGCTGGGGCGCACGCTGGGCAAGGCGGCCAAGCCTGGGAGGGGCTTGGAAAAGGTTCGAGTGCACCGGCAAATGAGATCCATGGCCGAAAAGACGGCAGAATCTGCAGGAGGGTTATTGGATGTGATTGGTGTGTTTGATAAGAGTTACAGTAGTTAGGTTGGTTGATGCAAGAAGTCAAACTTCAATACCTAGGCTGGCACTTGGTTCTGTTGGCTTTTGTAGCAATCAGTTATGCTTGCAGCTCTAGTAGCTGCTAGTGGACCAAAAACAGAACCTACCTGGATCACCTCAAATACATTCACCCTAGCCTTCAAAGACCATTAAAAGAATGGTTGGCCTGGTTTTGTAGTGTAGATTCCTTGGTTGTTTGATGTTGTTTGGGATTCAAACCATTGAAACAATGGCTGTTGGAATCCCAGCCAGGGTTCAAACACTCGCCGGGCAGCTTTCAAGATGAGTCTGCGAGAGTGGTTGCTCATGGTTGCTCCCTCGAGTGCACGACCCATCAACCTGAAAAACGCTTGTCTTTCCTTTCATGCCCAGGGAAAACGCTTCTCCCATATCACTCGTTTTTGGAGAAGCGGTCATCGCAAGGCAGTACATCGACTTGAGCTTTGATTCATTTTGATCCACGCAAGATGAGGAGTTGCAATTGACCTGCTATGGTCTGTTCCAGTTGGGATGGCTTCATCCAACTTTTCCGAGGATCACTTGTCTTGCTTTGTGATATTTTTCCATATTTTTCCTGTCAACATGTACAAATAACTACCCACCATATACCTACGTCAGTCCGGTGCCCGCGGGTATTTTGCGGGGACGAAGAAAGACCTTGAACCATCTGGATCTCCAAATATGTCCACATAGAGCCCTTCCCTGTCCATTGTCCATATCTGCTCATTTGCGCACTCCGAACACCCATCTAGCACCCCTTTTACAGTCCTTTGCAGGCCAGTCTTGTTCTTGTTGACACATCCTTGCACCCTTCCTTGAGTCTTTGGTTTCCCTGCCACCAGCGGATCGCATGGAGCAGTGCGGCCAGCAGCTTGAGGCCAAGGAGCCTCAAGAAGGAATGACTGGCAGCTCTCTTCAGCTTGGGACTGGCTCATCCAACCCAACGCAATCCGTGGATTGCCTGTTCGTTGTGCTACTCAAATCCACCAACTGGGCCGGCTCAAAAAAAAATAGCACCATCCACATCCGCTAGACAACAACATGCAGAAATTGTCAAGCAATGGATATGATATGATTCAACAAATCATGCACCAAAGGCATCCACACACACACACACATCTTCAATTGATTGAGAAACTCACTACTTACCATTCATGCCATTAAATGCAAATTACCAAAATACTCGTATACGATATATTCGGAGGGTGGCTCCTTACTTCGACGCCCAAAGGAGACTTCGACCCTTCGACTTCGCATCGGCATCGACCCGGGCGCCCCCGGACCGCCTCGCGCCAAGCGACGCCACCGACGCATGGCGTGGAACGGCGGTTCCCGTCGTGTGAACGAGAGGTGCACGGAGAAGGCTCAAACGAGATCAGCATGGCGAAGGCGGGCTGAACACCATCTGCGGCTTCTGAAGGAACCATCGTTGTGTTTGAAGGAACAGAGAACAGCTTTTTTAGTACATTGCTTGCACTGTTACTTGCATATACTTGCATCATCTACACTGTTACACCGAGCGTCCATTCGAAACACATCGCCGCGTCTTCATCGTCGGTTGGTCGGTGGTTGTCACCCGGAGCGTCCGTGTCTGGTCGAAGCTATTGCCACTTTGACCAGCACTCTGACCTGGTGAGGCTGGACATCTCAAGGTCATCTGGTGAGGTTGGTGACCTAAGATGCTGAATACAACGGAACAACGGCTGCTGAGTGCTGATGTGACCTAAGATCTCTCGATCTACCTGCTTTTCACACAGCAAACCAAGGACTAAATTGCAGTACCTTCCTCATCGTTTTCGAGTAAACCGCAACATGCCACTTCCATGATGGTTGCAACATGTTGCATCCGCAACAGTGCAGACTTGCTCTGAAATGGTCTGCGGTGGAGCCTTTTTTGATTCTGGCGGTCTCGGCCGTGGCCGTCCGAGTCTGGGGCAAGTCGTGAACGGAGGGGAAGAAGACGAAGGGGAAGAACAGAGGGGAAGAAGGAAGGTGCTGAACCGTGGATGATCGTAATGGCCGACCATCTCATCATAGCTCATTCTGTTTTCATCCCCTTCAAACACGATCCTGGTTCGAAAGGATGCTAAAGTATCACACGAGGATTTTGTGGTCGTCAATGGTCTTCCAGCCGGTCAATCGAAGAAAGTGACTCTTGCTAGGACAATGACCGTGTGAGCCAACCACGACCTTCCCAGTGACCTTTCAGGATTGGTTAGTGACCTCTTGAAGACCTTCCCAGTGACCTCATTCTGGGATCTTAAGGACGCTCGCTGGGAAGGTCCTGGAACTTGTATTCCAATTCTGGAGAATTCTCCGGTAAATGGTCCGCGACTTTCTAAGGTCGATAGACACATTCTGAGATGGCCATAGTGGCACAGCTGCGAACTATGCCCAAATTGTACGTGACAAGTGATAAGAAAAAACATTCCATTTCGGATGATCCTCATTGTGTTCCTACTGGTTTCTTGTGTCAACACCTAGATGATCTCTTTAGATCTACTAAGCACTGAAATGTTTGATTCTATCTGCTTCCTGAAGAACATGTTTGTGTCAAGATGACATACCAAACCACCCAAAGAACATCTGGCTCCCCTCTTTTAACGTCATTATATAATTAACCAACCGCATCCCACCACAAAATAATACCAACCCACCGACCATAATGCCCAGGACCAATCTGCCTTGGACCCTCAAGAGCGCCCCCTTCCTTTTTCTCGGTGCCCTCCTCGCCGGCAATCACCCACAATGCAAAGCGAGGACACCCGAGGGTTGAGCGACCCAAAAAGCTCCATGCAAATGTTGGGTCGCCACCTTGTCAACATTACAGATCCTTACAGGAGCCACCTTGCCCAATTCGTTTTAGCACGGATTTGATTCTATTGCATGGCTGTGGGTCAAAACCGGAGGACCCTGGTTGAGCATGGAAAAGGAACAGAATAGACTAGTCCGGAGTCAATCGACTAGGCTTTGGGTCTCTGGGGGTGATACGACCCCACAGCCATGTCAGTGTACACTTGTTCTTCCTCTCCTGGGAAACATCTACAAAAACCATACCAAGAGACCTCGGGCAAACAGAGTAGACCTCCTCATACCTGCAGGTATGCCCATTCTAGCCCCTAAGTAGTTGAGGGTATCAAAGACCCTCCTTCCACCATTTCGCCTCACCTTGACGTTGGGTCCGGAGGTCCGGCGGGTGAAACGAGATGTCGACATACATCGTCTGGTGAAGAACAGGCGGCATCGTGGGTCGCGGGTCGCGGTTGGTTTTGAGTTGACCCATGGCGGATGTGAACCATTCCGCAAGGGCAAGGTATAAACATTCACTAAGGGATGTCAGTTGCAAACATGTTCATCATCCATACGTGTGTCATTTAGACTATGAGGACTCTCAGCTATGAGGAGGAATCGGAACTGACTCCCACGCACCATGAAAGCATATCACCTTTTGGGCCCTGAAGACGATATTTCATGATGATTCCCCTTTGTGAGGCAACATGCTCCTTTAAGCTGCTCGATGTCGTCGGCAGCCTCCGCTGCGCTGGACCCTCCGCCAGGCGAGAGGACTCGATCTTTCGGCAGCCTAAAAACCCCAGAAGGCTGGCCAACCTGAGGCGAGAGGCAATCACCAGGGCTGGGCCGTTCTAAAAACGCATACCCAGCTCGACCCCCCAATACTAAACTAATTTAAAACCTAGATTTCCACCTTGGCATCACCCCAATATGTTTTATCCTAGGCAGAAACATCTCCCTATTAATCAATCCCAGCTGCCACAGAAAGATAGTTTACTATTGTATAATTCTTTATTTTTTTTGCTAGTATTCAATATCTTCATCTCCTCATCTTCCTGATTCTCACCACCACCTCTCAACTGTCTCATCCTGCTCACCAATCCTTTTGATGGCTTCTCCTCAGGTCTCATGCTACCAACCATCCCCCCAAACCCCAAAAACTCTCTAGCAAAAGTCTTTCATTTCCCCTATTAAAACTCTATCAACATCTTAGCTTTTTCAAGCTCACAAAGGGTACCCCTCACACAGGCCCTACCCCCCCAATAGTACGACCACCTCCCCCTATTAATCAATCCCAGCTGCCCCAGAAAAATATAGTTTACTGATAATTCTTTATTATGTTATTTTTTGCTAGTATTAAATGTCTTCATCTCCTCATCTTCCTGATTCTCACCACCACCTCTCAACTGCCTCATCCTGCTCACCAATCCTTTTGATGGCTTCTCATGGCACAGAATCCCATCAACCATCATCCATCATCAGGTCCAGGTCCTCATCTCATCATCCATCATCAGGTCATCATCTTTATTAAGGGGATGTGGTCCTCAAATACCTCCGATCTCAGACCTTGTTGACCTTGTTGACCTTGAAGGGGAGGGGGGGTCCCCGTTTATTAATCCTACGTCGACATTAAAGGGAGAGTGCATGGGACAGCAAACACTCAACATCTTAACCGCAAGAAAGGCTGATCACAACGGATTGAGCAAAACTGAGTCTTGCGAAATGGACCACAAATGAAGACAATAGCATAAGGCTAGGCCGCGAGACCAACGGCAACGCCTGGCGCACACACACACACACATCTTGGAACTCAATGACTTCTTCTACCGGCGTAGTGTGGAAACCACACGTGGCCATCAGTCAAGCCCCATTGGAACAGCTATGAATAACTGGTAGACCAGTGCAAACATGAGCAAACATGAGCAAACCACACATGAGTGCCGGACCTAATCTTGTATCTAGCCGCCTAGAATGGGTCGTAGCAGGAGGTCGCAGGTTTTGTATATATGGTTTTGTGGGTTCGGTAAAGGGGCATAGGTCGACCCCCATGGATATGCAGGTTTCGTGTTTAGGGAAACCCCATCCCATGTCCACCGCGTGACGAATACTTGCCTTACCTCGCAGATGTGGTCGGATGCTCACATCATCCATTCATGGCAGTGTTAAACATACCCAGACGCTCCATGGGACTGCCATCTATGCCGATCAGTTGGGGTGGTGGTTTGGGGGGTCAATGGGACGGCAGTCCTATGGCAGTCCCATTAATCATTACCCGGGGAGTCAAAGACTATAAAAAGAATGGTCTTTAGGGGAACTGAAAGGGAACTTCCTTTACTCCAGCCGGTCAAAATATAGTCTTTGGATGTCTTTGGACTTCTAGGGATTAGTCGTGTATGGGATATACCTCGATGATGTTGGACATGAAGTTCTACGAATCTGAATTCACCGACAGAATTTCCGCATACCAGCCGAGCAACCGAGCTTGGCAGCCTGCGATATCCAGCGATCAGCCTCTTGGTTTGCCACTTCAGCCTCGCGCTTCGCACGCCCAACACCGTGGTGTAGCCACACAGTGCTGCGATGCTCAGGTTCCCGTGCCCCCCGCCACGCCACATGACCTTCCCACTCTCCCACGCCGCGACCCTTGCCGCCGCTCTCCTCATTCATCCAGGTCGATGAGCTCCCCTGCGTGAAGTCGGCACCGATGCTCGGGACACTGGGGTCGAACGGGGCGGCGACGGGCCAAGAAACCACACACACCACACGTGGAAAACACCAAGCCAGTCCCGGGAGGGAAGTCCGAAGACGAATGCATGGAACTCACATCATATCGCAGCTGCTCCCGTTTGGCGGAGCAAGGCGCAAACCGGATCAAACCGGTGCGTTCCTAAAGGACCGGTGTGAAACTGGTGCGTTGTTCCACTGGGTATGGAGAGCAAAATCCCTCGGCGCCTCCCACAAGCGCCGTGAAAGGCCTGGGAGAGGAGTTGTCATGGAAGCCAGGAACCACCAGGCAGATGCGTTCGAAAAACAAAGAGTCTTTCACTAAGAGAAAAGCAACAACACCATAGTAATACTTAGATATGCAAATATCTAGTTGTCATCCAACATGTTTAGGATAAAATATCGTAGGAAACCATGCAGAAACGATGGATCTGCTGTGAAGTTTGATCTGCGGTGGAGGGACCTGGTGGGTCCGGAGGATCAACGGTCTGACTTGCTCAGTCAAAGGTCTGCTCTTCACTGCTTTGCTTGGCGAATGCCCAGTCATGGTCTCTTGGCACCAACAGGGAACGCGGGTCCTTTCTCGTGGGGGCAAATGCCTTTGTCCATTCTGCAGTGGGGAAACCCAAACGGACGCAGAGCTGACCACTCCGGCACTCCTGTGAACTGCGGATGCGTCGCAGACCACGCAACGGTCATTACGACGTCCAACGTCTCCTTCTTTGCTTCGGCATGGCGCAACGCCCCGCGCGACGTCGTCAGGCTGTTGCAAATGCGCCAGGATCCCCAACGCTACTGGATTGGCCTCGACCGGAAGAACGGCACAACAGGTGTTCATTGGCGATGAGTGGGCAAACCCTTTTTCTGTACAAACCAATTCTCTTGCCCACTTGGTGCCACGCTAGTAGCAACAGGTGCCTTACTAGTAGTAACAAGGTTCGCTAGTAGAAACAAGT